TTTTATTGTCTCAGTACCGAAGTATCGTAAAATAATGCATCTGATAAAACATAGCTAATAAAAATCAACCCCAATTCTTATATTAGTTGTTCGAACTATTATAAGAATTTGTGTTATATTTTATGATATAATAGCTCACCGCCTAATTTCAGAAATGATTTGTCAATGCCTTGTAGTTTAGGCTTTGTATGTTCAAGCTAGTGTGCATGGGGCAGCACCCCGCCAAAAAAACAAAACAAAACAAAACAAAAAAAAAGATTCGTTTTAAGTTTCTACACGAGTGTTTCTACTAATATTTTTTTTTTATGTAGCTGGAAAACTGTTGAGCTTGTCTTATTTTTTTCCCACTTTTTAATTTATATTTGTCATTCTTTTCCTCATCAGGATAAACATTGTTTCCAAGGTTTGGATTTTATAAAAACATTTTAATCGAGATGTATCACAAATAACACAAGACAAAAAAAAAATCACTTTTCAATTCCGACCAATATTAATGTGGAAATATCCACCGTTCTTTTTTCTATTTTCTTTACGCGCAACAAAAACGGTTATTTCCTCGCTGATAGTTTGTTTATGTTAAAGAAAATCAATATAGCCTATTGAAATTGGCTATCTCTCTTTTTTCGATATAATCTCGTCTTCTTAAATATCCATTTTGAATATTTGGTGTTCTTTTTTTATAGTTTGGCTTTCAATTCAAAATGGCTGCTTCAATGGCGAGAAATGTTATATAATTTAGAAAATCTTTTATACATTCATTTCAAATTTGGAATGAAGAGCTTGCAGTTATCATGGGAAATTTGTTATTTGTTGTAGAAACATTCTGTAGTTGAAGACTTTCAATTTTGGGATCAGCAGTATCTTCAACGGGAAATTTCGTGGAGCTCAAAAATGTATAGCAGTAAAATATGTTGGATAGTAATAAGTAATGCAAGTTGGCAGATTTTGTAAGGTCTAAAAATGTAAAAAATGATGTTCTATGTGAAAGGAAACTTGAGCTAATTTTATTTGATCTGAACTCAGTATATATTGTCTTACAATTTTCAAATTCTTCTTTATGTGTTTTAATTTTATGGATCTATAATCAGATATATAATCTTTAATTTTTCAGCAAAAAGCATTTTATACGACTCATACATGGCATAAATATATATGCATCAAATATTCATTGGGACTTACTTATTTTTTTATATTATAATAAGCGTTTCATTTTCAAATTTCATATCTTTATATATATTTTTCAAGATGAAATAAGTTTTATTTTGTTAGATTTAAGGAGCGAAAGTCGTTCCGATGCAATTCCGTGAGGGTTAATTACGTTTTCTAATTGGTCAAAAAATGATTTCCTTAATTATATTATGTGTTGATTCATAAATGGAAGATCTCATCCTAATATATTAAGCAAGCTCAAAAACACGAAAAAAAAGATGGCGGAGACTTTGTGAAGTCCAATGTATATTTCGGCTAACAAACTTCCCAAACTTTATAGAAAAAAATCACTCATCGTAGATTAATAGCATTTCTTCCCCGCTTTCTTTTTCCATATTTTTTTTTTCAAGTTGATTGCGTTATGTCTTTTTGTTAAGTTTATGTCGTTCGTCCAATTATTTTTCTCTGACTTTTATCCACATATACGTTGCTTTTATTGCACTGCCCGGAAACAGCTGAAAGTGACATCAGGTGAATAGCTTGAAACGTTGATCCTTCTTTATATATCACTGACGCTAGAATGGATGTTTTAGTCAACCGAAATAACATGGAGATTTCTTCGGCTGAATCGTAGTAATAAAATTAGCAAAGTTGAGGATAATTGTCTTTTAAAAAAATCATTGAATGATAAGAATATTTTCTTTCAGATTTATCTGGCTAAAATTATCATTCATTTTCTTTTTTTAATCTATTTTTCATTTGTTTATTTAACTGAAATCATGTCGCAGTGCTTCTTTCAGATTAGGGCAACTTGTGTTCCAGGCTTATGTCCTTGGTCATGGGACTAACAACGAGTAGAATAAAAGTAGAAGATACAGTAATGCCGAGAAAGACCCCGAAGAAAAAACGGTCCATCACTTTGGCGATTTCTTGCCACTCTTGGATAAATTTTCTCTCCACCATACCCCGATCATTCATAGCGATTATGTACCTCAAATAACGCATCATCTCGTCGTCGAAAGAGCTCTCAGGTGTTAGAATTGAATGTGTGTGGGGGCTGACTCCGCTCGTGCCCGAGCAGTCAGGGATCTTCTCGTGACCCATACCGTTGCAGCGAACCCCGCAGTGACTGTGTCGTTCTGTGCCATAGGATTCACTAGACAGCTTCTCCATTTTGTTGTGAAGCGACGAGTGGCAGAAGCGATTTGGTATGGTATCAGTCCATTCCATGCAGAGGAATCTGGATAGCAGGTAGGAGAATTTCCGTAGCCAGTATGGTGGTCCACACTGGAAACTGCCCCGGTGATGCAGATTGAGGATGAAGACGGAAAATACCACAGAAAGTGCGCTCATGGCCATAATCACTGTCAAATAAATACCTGAAAAAACAATGAAGGAAAAGTAAAAAGTTATTTCTCTTGTGAAAGAATCATAATATTTGTATTAGTAGCAATTGAGCATATACGAAGACTGCATAGAAATAATCGTGTCATTTAATATAAACGAACTATGTGGTCTACTTACAGCAATAGCGCCTTAAACCCGTTCAAAATACTCTCTTTGTGACATGAAACCGTTACAACTGTGCCTCTTCAAGTCAAGTGCCATGCGTGATGTCCGCTTGTGCAATAGTGCATGTTGGGATTTCACGTTCTTTAGAAAATCAACATTGCATTCGGTGTGAAAGGTGAGGTTTGATGTGATAAGTATTGCCAGCAAAAATTAGCTATTACTAAATGTGGCGGGGGGCATTTAGTTTTAACGATCATCTGAAAAATGTACAGAATTACTTAATTTCCGCGGGCCCTTGCCTACAGACTTCAAACTTTTACAATGTCAAGAATAAATGCAAATAAAGTTGATATTTTTTGTATTACATATATGAAATGGAATATATTCAAACCAGAATTCTAATTATGAATCACCACAAGCAAAATATGCATTTTTTACTGTATTCGATAATTAAAACTGAGTAAGAAAATTGTAAAAGATGACAAAAAACGCTACACAATAAATAAGATTTTAGTTCAAAATTAATAAAAACAGAACATAGATAAAAGTGTATATAACACCACAATACTGGGCATAAACTATAAGACAAAATGTTTTAAATTTACATTGTTTATTGAAAATCGCACTCGAAACTACAACACTGTATAATATATTCCATCATAATATATCTAAATTGTTCAGTGTAATTTCCCTTTGAAGTAAATGAAAGTTTAGTGAATGATTTACTAATAATGTGATTGTACCATGCTTATTGTACATATCAAATTTATAAAGCTTCAGTAAATTATAAATTTTATAAGACTGTGCTATAAGGCTTTCAATAATCATCGGAATTAAATTCAAACGGTACGATTTTGAGACTAAACTTAATGTTTAAAAACGTTTCCTCAAATAAAAGTAACGATTTGGAAAAAATATTTTGTGTCATTATTTATCATTTCGAACCCCAACTTTCAAATTCAAAGCAATATCACGGTTCCAAAATCGAACTACTCTATTTCGATTCATGAGTCAATAAGCAGAAGATTTTCCCGAAGGAGACTATAAAGTAAAAATATATGAGAAATCTGTGTTTTTATATAGTCCGGTTCACAATTCGCCCCTGTTTTTTGAACTGGAGAAAAGTTTACCCCGCGTTTTCTATGCAGGATTAGGTTTTCGGTCCTTCCTAAAGTTTACTCCTAATTTTTCACTCTTACTAGCTCCTTGCATCTTAGTGGCATTATCAACTTTCTTGGGGTGAATTGATTAAAATAAAACGTTAAAGTCTGCTTGTTTGGGGTGGGGGGTGGATATTAGAACAAAAATACGTGATGTTTTTTGTTTGCTTGTTTGTTTTGGGGTTTCTTTGTATTAACGCCAAAAATGTCTGTTTGCAACATAGGCGTCTTCCAGTCTGAAGGATAACGAGGAAACTGATTGGTTTTGTTTTTATATTAAAGGCATTAATTTCTCATTCCGTGTACATTAACTCCTATACCGTACTGTGAATATGCATTGAGAGTGTGCTTATCTCTCAATTCCAGACAAAAAAAAAACCCAAGACCAGACTCATAGTTAATATCAAGGCAAAACCAATAGCAACGATGTGCTGTATACAAGCTAAGAGAAAGAATAATAGAAATCTACTCAGAGTGGGCTATTTGAATGTAGAGGCTATGTTTAGAGCCGCATTCCCTCTGACCTTTGGTATTTGACAAATTCCAGAGAGAAATAAAGAATAATTAAATATTTAGCTTCGTCTTTTAATAATTTTAAATGTACCACGGCAAAAAAGGATACCCACAAAATAATGAAATAGTGTCTTTTGGGTAGATTAAATGAAGTGTTTCAAACCATGAAGTTTTCATTTGCAATTTTCTTTCCAAATTTTATAGGATTAGGGCTTTGGCTTGGTTAGGCCCATGTGGCGTAAATAATGGGTATTTAGACAGGTTATTCATTAATATAATTTTGATTAAAGCCATATATGAGGAATATATACATTATTTCCTTTTAGTTTCCTGGTTTATATTAAAGAGAATGGATTTCTGTATTCATAGAATGTAAGTTTTGATAGCTTCTCTGCCTGGTACAACCACCAGACCTGCTTTTGCTCTTTAACATGCGTAGAACTCAATAAGATGACTTTTGACTCGTCGATTTAATTGATCTACAACTTTTGTTGTATTGCGTTAGCAGGTGCAAGAGCAGTGGAATACTGTATTATAGAATGATGTATGTGTCTGTTTACTGTTGCAACATTCCTTGCTTCGGTCCCTGTATACGTATTGATATGTGTAAACGATCGTTGAATGTAATCCTGTTATATTACCTGTATTTGAACTCGAGATTAAAATGAAACTTTGGATTAAACAGAATGACAAAATAAGATCTCTAGCCATTGTTGGCAACCCGTCTACAAGAAGAACAGCTTTGTATTTAAAGTCGTATGTGTTGTAACCTAGAAAGTGTTATTGAATGAGGAATAACCAAAACGGGAATTGGAAATGAAATGTAATCTTTTTAGCATCAAAATATAAAATATTCGCCAAAGGCGTGATGTAGGTAAACCACTGCTAGTGGAGAACTATTAGACAACATATAACTCCCACTTACTATTATAAATGGGGGTAATATACTGTCTAACGTATTCATGAGGATTGAGACAACATTCGTCAGTGTTCATAAGTATGGTATATAACAGTATGTAATCCTGAAAAATCGTATAATATATAGACATGGGACAATATAGAATTCATAATAAACAGCGTTTGAATGTTGTTGACTATGATGCCCATTGAGGTCGAATAAAAAAACATTTTCATAAACTGGAGTGTTAGAAAGATAGATGAAGAATGGAATAACCAAATGCTATGAAACGTGTATGATATCTCAAGTAATTAAAGTGGCAGTTCAACACACTTGGTGCTTGAACGTCTTTCAAAATTCCGAAATTTGATCATTAAAATAATATTCTGTTCTGCTGTAGATATTCCCCAATTAATCATTCTGAAATTTAACCTGTTTGGAAACCGTAAATAGTCAGATGAAACAGGACTTGCAAAAAGACGGGAAGAACGATGCACTCAAACAAACTCTAAATTCTTTTGAGTAGGTGCATTTTCACGAGGAAAGTCAAATTCCGCAAATTCCATTTGACAATTCCTTTAATTGGCACTTGAAATACCTGAACTTGCTGTTCAGGTATTTTTCTACATTGTCTGCCTCTTCTGAAAATAGGCTGTATTCAAAATAACGTCCTTATTCTCCTCAAAATCCGTAGCCATGACGTTTCCTGATGAATTTGGGGTTTTTAATTTTTTCACCTGCGGAGAATGCGGATCCTGTGAATTTATTGACTATTGATTGGTTCCACGAACAAGGAAATTTATTATCCAGGAATTTTAAAATACAGGAAAAGGATCCAGGTAATTTTCAATTTACACTCTAAAAGAACGCTTTGCAGCTGCTTTGACAAAATAACGGTAATATTCTATAAAGTGGTAGGTCCAAAAACGCTTCAGCATCCTCTAGAAAAATTTGAATTTCAAATCAAAAATTAGGTTTAGGCTGTTTCCGCACTCAGTCGGCAAGATTGGGATTGAAAATGAATGGTTTGTCAGGAATTAATGCAGGAGTTCTCTGAATCTTTACGTTTACAGGTTTCCTCAATTCATCATACATTTTGACTTGTCATTTAATAATTTTTCACCAGTCATTAACATAGTCTATGGAATCAGTTTCATTTTATTAATTGCAATTAAATGAAAAAAATGACTCTTTTTCAACCGGCTATAAAACTTCAATTTTATGGAATAACAGATTCTTTCCCTGGTTAAAAATTCATTCAGATAGATTGTAAATTAATTCACTGGATGCCCTCGTTTGAAAATCACTGGACTAACGCATTCGTTATTGATATTTTAAGACTATGACATATAAGAGTGAGGGAAATTTTAAATAACATTAAATTTGTATATAGAATGAAAGTTACTCTCATTGTCTGCTTAGAAAGCCATGCAGCAGATCACCCATAAGACCATTCAAAATAAAAATACATTTTTAAAATTCTGTAAAAAGTTTGTTTCAAACATATATCATGGTATTAATCCCTATCATAAGTATGTGTAATGTCTATGAATAATTCCTTTTTCTCTCATTTATTCTTCTGTATAACGCGTCCCTTATCATGACTCTCGATTGTTGTTGTAGAGTAGTTTTCATAGTGGAGGCTTGTATTTCAATAAATCGTCCTAAATTAGGTTCGACGTACAAAACGTTAGAAACTTGAAATAAGAGTAAATGACGCAGCAATCTAGTTGTGATGGTTGATACTTCAATGTTCGACATCGACTGACTCACTCAACACCACTGAGCCCAACTGGCGACCGCTGCTACTACTACTACTTATTATGTGTGGGAGAATCTATTAATAATAGAATAGGTACGTTCAGGTATGACAATCGTGACTCTCCAACCACCCCCCACCATTTTTTTTACTTCTGCTAAGGCTCCTGAACCCGTTCCACCATTTATTCACACAAGCTTGTCAGATAGGTTGCTCGCCTTCTATCCCTTTCTCGAAAACCATCAATTTGCCTTGTGAGTGTTAAGTTACCCAAGTCCCGCTTCCTCATCATGCGTTCAAGAAATTTCTCCTCCTGTTTCTAAGCATGTGTTCTTTTTGTTGCAATATCCTTTAAGATTTCCTCGTGGCTTTCTCATGCCGTTCATGGAATTCTTAGTATCCTTAGAAACAAATTTTTGTTGTCTCCATTTTTTCCTCAACTGTGAGGAGATTTTCCAGCTTTCACTGCCATATAAGAGGATGGATATCACATACTAATCCAAAACTCTTTACTTTC